AAGAGTTAAGTCCTGTTACCAGCATACCACTTCGAAATGAAAGCAAGATGGTCAAATCGAGGTTGATGGTGCATTTTCTTTTTTTTTTAATTTAATTTTATTTTATTTGTGAACATACTGTACAGAGGGGTTACAATTACATGGGCAGGATAATGCGTACATTTCTTACCAAGCATTGCAGCCTCCTCCTTTGTTTACCCTTCACATCCCTTCCCAGCCTCCCCCCTCCCCCCCCAGTCCCAATCCTTCTCCTTCCCCCTCCCCCTGCGCCCCCCCACCCCGCACCGACATTGTAAAGCTCGTTTTTAACATGACAACTTGTACTTTTCATTGTTGCAACAGGTCCACCGGTATCATTAAACAACTGGTTTTTCCCCATCTCCTCCACAAGTTAAACTGACATCAAATATAGTGAAAGCAGGGGTTATACTGTGGGGGAGGGACATACAAAGCAACAAAGAGATAATCTTATAAATGCATTAGAAACACATGCATGAAAGAAAAAAACATTAAAATACATATCTAAGGGTTCATTTTCCTGACATCACATTATCTGACCTTTTCCGCTTGACTCATACATATACTAGATATTGCAAATAAGGGAAACCATAAGACCTATGTTTCTTTGGGCCTGGCTTACTTCACTTAATATAATTTTTTCCAAGTTTTTCCATTTCCTAATAAATGGGGCAATGTCATTCTTTCTGATGGAGGCATAAAATTCCATTGTGTATATATACCACATTTTCTTGATCCATTCATCTACTGAGGGGCATCTGGGTTGGTTCCATATCTTAGCTATGGTAAATAATGCTGCAATAAACATTGTTGTGCTGGTAGCTTTAGTGTGGTCTTGTTTGTAAACATTTGGGTAAATGCCCAAAAGTGGGATTGCTGGGCCATAGGGGAGTTCTATGTCAAGTCTTTTGAAGAACCTCCATACTGCTTTTCAAAGTGGTTGAACAAGTTTACATTCCCACCAACAATGAAGTAAGGTTCCTTTCTGTCCACATCCCCTCCAGCATCTGTTGTTGTTAGAGTTCTTGATTTTTGCCGTTCTAACTGGAGTGAGGTGATATCTCAATGTTGTTCTGATTTGCATTTCTTTTATGGCTAGGGAGGTTGAGCATTTCTTCATGTGTCTATTGGCCATCCTTCTTTCTTCTTCAGAGAAGTTTCTCTTTAAGTCTTTTGCCCACTTATTTATTGGGCAGTTGTTTCTTTGAGGATTTGTTGTTGGGGGGTTTAATTTTTTGAGTTCCAAGTATATTTTAGATATGAGACCCTTGTCCGTTGTATGGCTAGTAAAGATCTTCTCCCAATCCATGGGCTTTCTATTGATCTTGCTAGCTATGTCATTTGCCCTGCAGAAGCTCTGCAACTTTATGCAATCCCATTTGTCTAACCTTTCTTTGATTTGTTGTGTTTCCGGGTCTCTATTCAGAAAATTTCGGCCTGAGCCAAGGAGACCTAGGGTTTCTCCTATTGATGGTGCATTTTCTTCAACAACAAATAATTAATCAAAGCAAAACAACAGCTATTTTACTGAAGTGTCTGGGGAAGAATGCTAGAGGTCTCTGGGGATGTGAAAAGGTTGTGTGAGAAGGTTGATAAGCTAAAGAAAGGACCTCAGCACATAGCACCTACCACTACTGTCTGATATCTTCAGAACATTCTTTAACCAAGAGGAACTTCCGTGGGAAAGAGTAAGAAGGAGACTTACAACAATCCCCACTTACACCACTAACACTTGAAGTCCTTGCTTTGGCAGAAGCCTGAAGCCCTCACACATCCTGAGTTTCATTTGGGAAGCTGCTGGCATTAAAATCCATTGCATTGCCCCAGACATGGTACCCAGCCTACTTCATGACCTTTACTGTACAGGTTTCTGTTACATAGTGCCATCTTGTGACCACGCCCTACAGAGGTCCCCCGGAAGCAGGTGTGATAACTCCGCCCTGAGAATCAGAGTAGTGGCATAACCCACAGTTGGCCCAGGAAAGAAGCCAAGCCGTCTGACCTGAGTAACACAGCATTAAAAACGCTCCAAGAAATAGATGGGCATCCCAACCTTTCCTGCAGCCTGTAAAAGCATCCAAGGTGTCAGATCCCAGAAACTCATCCTGCTGAGCCCCCAAGAAGCAGAAGATTAAACATCATGTTGCCAGGAGTGGCTTGGCCTGGCAAGATCCTGAGAAACAGGGAGTCATCTCATATACCCGGGAGAAGCGGCTTAGAATTCCTTTCTGAGGGCATCAACCCCTCTAGGGAACTTCTTTAAGAAGTTGATGTGTGGCCCTCAGATACTTGAAGTTGCTACATACCACTGGCACACAGTCTTGACATCCACCTGGGCCCTCCAGAGTTGCCCACACCATCACAGCTACCAGAGACACATGAGTATGCCATTTCTGCTGCTGCATTGGGAGCCTACTAGAATGGCTCCTTTCCGATATGAACTATGGAAAGTGATGGACTGAGTCTACCCTCTCCAGAGATGTTTATGATTCTGTCCTGCTTAAAACAGCTGCGTCTCAGCTGGTAGTGTCTTCACTTAAACACTACCATCTTGGCTAATGAGACTCATTGAAAATGTCATAACATGGATTATAACTGAATATACTACACAATGTACCCAAGCGTCCACCTGGAATCAAAGTCGACAGTTCTCTGCAGTCTGTCTAGAACACATTAGTAGGAGAAAGTATCGGATTTATCGTGTAAAACCAGTATAAAATTGATATAGGCAAATAATTCATCAGATACACACATCACCATAGGGATGGAAGAGACTTGAAAATGTACGATATCATGAGGTTTCTACAGGAACACACTAACTCTATCAATAGACCCTGAAGAAAAGAAAGATGATGAGTTACCAGTCAAAAATAATCAAAACACTACTCTCAGGATTCCCAACAAGATACCAGAAATTCCAGAGAATTCAAATTTTAGGAAAAATATTTATGATTTGATTAACAATTTGATCAAAAGATACAGTTTAAAAACAAAGAAATAGATATCTTGAAGCCAAAGACCTAAATAAATGAAGCAAAAATTACAATTATAAAGCTCAGAAGCAGACCAAATCAATTAGAAGAAAAGAATTTCTAAGCTTTATGACAAGATTTTAAAATAACCCTGACAGGAAAAAGCAAACAAGACAAACTAACAAAGTAAAAAGATTGAGAAAAGGTTTGCACCATCTACGAGGAAAAGAGAAAAAGCCTAGAAAACATATCCTATAACGTAATTGTAGGAAACTACAAATCCTTAAAAATATAGGAATATCCAGATTCCGGGAGCTCAGACAACTCCTAATAGATTCAACCAAGTTGAAGTATAAAATGTAAAAGACAAGAAAAAGAATGTAAATTACCAAATTTCACACTACAAATAAAGAAATGCACACTAAACTAATAGCATACTTTTCTACAGAATTCTTAGCATTAAAAAGGAAATAATAATATATAAAAATACCTGAAAGAAAAAAAGTCAATCAAGAATACTATTCACAGCAAAGTAACCCTTTATTAATGAAGAAGAAAAAAAAAGTATTGCTAAGAGAAGTAGAAATGCAGGGAATTAATTACCATCACTAGTCCTATAAGAAATGACTTAGAGAAACAAAAAGGTGATAACTGTCTTCATAAAAACAAGCTGAAGTGGGCTGGGAAGGTGGCTCAGTTGGTAGAGCACTTGCCTTGCATGCTCAAGGCCCTGAGTTCGATTCCTCAGCACCACATAAGCAAAAAGAAAAAAGCCGGAAGTGGCACTGTGGCTCAAGTAGTAGAGCGCTAGCCTTGAGCTGAAGAGCTGAGGGACAGCGCCCAGGCCCAGAGTTCAGGCGCCACGACCGGACCCCCCAAAAAAAAAACAAGCTGAAGTTAAAAAATCATTAATATACAGAAGAGAAAGAGAATTAAGCTCTATAAATATATGAAAAAGAAATAGAATAGAATCATATTGTACTATAAATGGTATTGACAATAAATGGTATTTATAATAATTTATCCTACACACAACCATTTCTTACATAAGATTGATGAATTCTAACCAGAAGCTATTTAATTTGAGTAGTATCCTGAACAACAACAACAACAACAACAAAAACAACAATAAAATCATTTAGAGGTAGATAGAGGAGAACAGCTTAGGGTGGTGTCAGGGCATGGAACTATCCTGAGTGTTTAAAAGGCTGTAGGAGAGTGCAGATACTAGGAAATGTGGAATTCAGAAGAGTTAACTTGTAAGGAGATGTTAAAGCTAGAGAAAAAAAATGAAAGAATGTTGGACATTAAAGGTCTTGAATACTGCAAAAGACTGAGTTTGCATTTTTGTTCTCTAGGCAAAATATAAAAGCTTTTGGATGTTTACAACCAGAGAAGGTGCACTAGACAATTTACGTTTTAAATGGATAAGAAAGAATGAAGCCAAGGGCAAAAGAACCTCTTAGGAGTAGCTTGTCTTGGTTTGGCTAAGAGATAATTAGGAAAAGATTGGTGGTTGTTGAATCAAAGAAACAGAGAAGGATGCACATTTAATACATTTTTTTAGGAATTAAAATCTTATGAGGTTGTTCCATGGGAGGAAAAATTGAATCTGAAGTGCAGAGGAAAAGAAGGTCAAGTGACTCTTGGTCAAGTTTAATTTGTATTCTAATTGCTAGGACTCATCTGCCCCGTTGTCTTCCTGACTTGTTACAAGAATCCCTTTTTCACTCTAAGCTTGTTCAGACTGACTTATTTTGATGTTTGTAACAACAACAACAACAACACAAAGGGTTTTGAATACTATGTCCAGGAACCACAAACATTATATTTAGGAGGCAGAAGAGACAATTCAATATAAAATATGTGATATAAATATTTATTGTTGAATACTGAATATGTCACCTAACTTTCAAGTCTTAGAAACATGATTCTTAGAAGTTTCTTTCTCTCTGTATCACGGAAAATGGAATGTCTGGATCTTTCGTTAATTCTTGTTCCCTTGCATAGAAGACATGGAAAGAACAGAAGAGTTTTAATTCACTTTTGTAAATCGAAATGCCATGATTGATGCTGCATTGAACTGGATTAAAAGGTGGGTAAAATCTGTGATATATTGGGTAAAATTGAAATCATTTAGCATAGAGAAAGGAAGGCTAAGACATGAAATTGCTGTCGTGAATTATTTGAACTAGTTCTGAAATGGAGCTCCATGACAAATGTTTCTTTCTTTCTACCCAGGATAAAACAAGAGGAAATGCATTCAGAGTTGAAGCTGGATCTATTTAGGTGAATTATGCTAGAGCACTTCCTGGCCTGGGAGGCTATTTGGCTTAGCAATGGATTGCTAAACCAGGTCAAGGGATCTTTCTCCAGAGAGAGAATCAGAAGAATGAAGGGGATTTGGGAAGTCATTTGAGCAGATGAAAGTTGATCTTTTGAAAGACCACCACCTCCCCAGGGAAGAAATGCCATGACTTCATAGCAATGCCTAGGAATCTTCACTTTCTACTTATCTTAAGTTGGTGTTGAAGTTTCAATACATTTCCTCTTTTTTCTCTTCTCAGTTCAAGTAGAAAGTAGTTAGCTTGGATCTTTAAAACCTTGGCTGATTTTTAAAGGTCCTATTATACTGTCACTCACAGTGTCTTGTTCAGGCTAAACAATTCCCTTTCTGTAGGCTTATCTGATAAGCACTACTTTCTAATCCTCTAATTGTGACTATGCTTCTGCTATGAAATGTCTGCAAGATTTACTATCTGTAGTTTTGAGCTCCAAACGGGACAAATTACTTGAATAAGGGTTTTTCGTGATGAATATAATAAACCAGATACTTTTGAATCCTTAAATATTTTGCTTCTGTTCTTGTCATTCAACTTAATATTCTTTATCATTCTTTGAAAGCAGTGACATCCAGCATTGTATACTGATTTTGATACATTGGTTTCCTGCTTTTATTTAATTTTCTCCTGAAACATAATATAATTCCATTCTTATAGGGAAATATAAAATAATATGTTGATTGAAATGCTCAATACCTGTTTTATTGAATATATGTCATATACATGTTTGGTTTGTTGTGAAGAACTAATTTGATGACCTAATTTAAAATATGCTCCTTTATAACTCAAATGTACTTTCATTGAAAAAAAAATTGAGCACATGAATTTAAATATATTCCTTCATACTCTAGCCAATAGTTTATAATAATTTATTTATTATTTTCTAAACTTTAAAAGGTATACGACAGGGTTACATATAGTATGCCCATCCACATGTCTGTCACCTCTTCCACCATCTTCTCTCTTACTGTTTTCTAGGCCTCCATCAGAACGACACTGTTATATTTGTTAGGAAATGGAAAAACATTATATTAAATGAAGTAAGCCAGGCCCAAAGAAACATAGTTCCAATGTTTTCCTTCTTTGCAATAACTAGTATATGTCTAGGACAAGCATAAAAGGTCAAAAGCTATGTACATATGAACATATAAGTTGATGCTAAGCAAAATGAACCCAAGATAGGTACACAAGGGGTTTTATCTTTCTTGCTGCTGTTTTTAATATACTTACAATGTGCTTGTTGTTTTTGTTACTTTGTATGTTCTTCTTCCATGGTATAACCCCTGTTTTCACTGTATTTGATTCCAATGCTCTGCATCTTGTATATACATTTTTTCTGACTGGGGGAGGAGAAGGAATATAAAAAATGCTTAAATAAGGACACAGGTTGACTCATTGTAACAATGAGATGTACAAGGTACTATGTTGAAAATGAACTTTACAAGTTGGGTGCGGGGAGGAGTTGAGGAGGTGGGAGGGAAGGGATGGTAGGGGAAAAACAAAGGAGGAGGTAACAATGCTTGATAGGAAATGTATTCATTACCTTACTCATGCAACTATAATCCGTTTGTACAGTATCATTACAATAAAAAATATATACTAAAAAAACTGACAAATTTTGATAGAACTGTATAAAATACAAATAAACTTTCCCTGCTTCCTTCCATTTTTTGCCCAGGTTCAGCTACTGTCAATATTTTTTGTACATTCCATATATAACTATTACCATATGACCTATAGTATTTATCAGCCTTGTTTCACATTTTCTTTATTGTAAGTGATACTTAAATATATATATATAATATATATATATATATATATATTTATGATCTAACCACTTCTTATCCTGCTGGGTAATTTTTCTACCTCAAACCACTGTTTCCTCTTTCTTATTGCAAGTCACTATTTAATCTACTTTCTTGCTTCTAGATTTTCCTCATGCCCCTGATTTTCTTTCTCTGAATAGCTTTAATTTAGCTAGACAGAAACTGTCATCTTGCTTTTTGCTTATCTCACTCAGAGTTAACACCAAATCCTCATGCTTAGGTTGACAAGAAGGCTGTCTAGGTGAAGGCCTCTAGCACTAATTGGTATACTATGGTAGCACCTTGATATATTTATCACTGGTTTTTACATGTGTTCAGTCAGGCCATTCTCCTTGCTACCCTGACATAGACAAGGATAAGTCCCTGAAACAGTGCCCTGCTATACTCAAAATGGTTTTCCCACAGATGTGCATGGAGTAAATTTTCCTGGTGTGCTCATGTTCCTTCTGGAGCAAGCATTTCAGACCTTCAGAGGGGTCTTGGTTAAATGGCACAAAGCCTCTGAAGACATTCATGCCCCTCATCCATGCTTTGGATATTTCTCTTCTGGAACTGGGTGCGAATTGGGGTTGGAGGAATTTCAGGGTGGGAACTATATTTCCCTTCCACTTTGGACTTCCTGTCTTGTGGCTCTGTCTGGGAAAGCATCTCGTTCATGGCCATTGCCTTCCTCATAACAGTTAGAATCTTTGAGTGTGATTCTGATCAGTATCTGTTAAATGCTGTTCTTTCAAACATGATTTGCAGGAATGGATGCTGATGAGGCCACACCAAAAGGTGATGCTGAGAAAGCCTGGGATGATTAGTCATTCAGAAAGTAGGTTATTATACCTGTTGCATTATAAAAATCTTCACATGATACCAACTTAAGAGTATTTAGCTGTTTTACTCATTCTGAGAAATAAGAAGACCCCAAGAAGCAACACAGCGAGCAGTAAGTGATTTGCCTAAACCCACACAGGAAGCCCCAGTATGCAGGAATAGAACCAAAAGTTCCTGGTTTCCTTTCCTTTACTGATGCCACTAAATAATTTGTCAAAACACTTCCAAGTCTTGCTTTCAAAGTTTACTGAACAAAGCTCTTATGTCCCTATCTTTTGCTCAGCATTATCTTATATGGTCATATGTACATAATGAACCCCAGGATAGGGACATAAGAAGTTTGGTCATTCTTGCTGCTGTTTTTAATGTACTTATAATGTACTATGTAATTTTTTTGTTTCTGTTTTTAAATTTTATTTTATTTTATTTGTGAACATACTGTACAGAGGGGTTACAATTGCATGGGCAAGATAATGCGTACATTTCTTACCAAGCATTGCAGCCTCCTGCTTTGCTTACCCTTCCCATCCCTTCCCAGCCTCCCCCCTCCTCCCCATCCCAATCCTTCTCCTTCCCCCCTTCCCCCCCAAAAACCCCTGTTGTCATTGTATTTGATTCGGGTGCCCTGTATCTTGTATATATACATTTTTGTAATTTGGGAAGGGGAAGGGAAATAACAAAATGCTGAAACAAGGATACAGGTTGACTCATTGTAACAATGAGATGGACAAGATACTATGTGGAAAATGAACTTTATAACTTGGGGTGAGGGGAAGGAGGGGGCCGGAGAGTGGGGACTGAAGGGATGATAGGAGGAAAAACAAAGGGGGAGGCATTGCCTTACTCAGGTTGCAACCCTTATGTAAAATATATTTTTTACAAAGGAAACTGACAAGTTTTTGAGAATATCTGTGTTTCTGGAATTCACCTTTGAGTGGAGAAATCTTTTTTTTTTTTAAAGATAATGTTGTTAAAACAAACAATTTGATTGATTTAGTGTTGCTAATGCTACTGGTTCTAAGTGTCTGTTTCTTTCTAGTGTGTTCTGTGCCTTCTGCCTACTCCTTCACCCTAGGGCCAAGGCAGAGAAGAAATCAATCAAAGGGAGGGACTTTGTGTGTCAATCTTGGAAAACACCATATCTCTGTGTTTGTACCAGGCTGGTACTTATGAGATTGAGCCACTTGATAAATGAATGTATTAGAAAGGATGCAATAGAAATAATTTTGGAGAAGAAGACAATTGACTGACACACACTGATTATGTGATTTCCCTTTGAGCTGAAGGCATTCTCGAGCTAAGTATGGCTGATGTTTGCACAAATGTGACAATGTTTTTAATTTCATTAAAATAATTGCCATCAGGATGTTGTAATGATCATTGGTAAATTCTGCTGTTTGAGAGGTGGAGTTGCAGGATTATGGGTCTTGGCCAGACTGGGAAATAGACTTATGAGATTCCTATCTCAACAAACCAGCTGGGTGTAGATCCATACACTGGTAGTCTAGGTATGTCTGAGGCATAGGCAACAGCATCATAGGGTGAAGATGGCCTGGGAAAAATGCACAAGAAACTATTTGGAAAGTAACTAAGTTAAGAGAGCCAGAGAAGTAGTGTAAGTAGTAGAGCACTTTCCTAGTAATTATAAAACCCTGAATTCAAAGTCCATTACTACCAAAAATGCAATAGTAAATTACATTATGTGTATACTTTTTGTGATATAAATTTTACAGCCAAAAGCTTCATAAAAGTTATTTGTTACCTATTCGCTCAGATATCATTAATCTGTTAGCAGGCATTCTTTTTGATTATTGGTTACTGCTTCAGGTAGATTAGACAAAAATTATAAATGCAATTTCATATCTCATCTTCTCCTGAAAGATTTTATAAATACTTCAGCATTGATTAATGTCACCACTGTAGAAATATATAGACATGGGCTTGTTCAACATATACTTTTGTGTGTGTGAGGCTTCTTTTACTCGTACAGCACTTTTGAATTTTAGTTCACAAAGTCATCATTTTTTCTAGGTGAAAATAAAACCCACAACAGCAAGCCTTTAATAATGTTATTCTAATGCTTATAAAAATAGACATTACTGACGGTTGCTTTAGAAATCCACTAGCAATACAATGTAGATGTCATGTAGAAATCTACAAAATATTTCCACAAGCTGCCACTCAGAGAACATGTATTACAGGAATCCCAGCAACACTGGAAAGTGTAAAACTCATTCCTCTGCTCTGTGGAAGTGCATGGAGACATTTTGTCTATTGACTTAGGGTGTATCTCAGTGAGAGAGTGCTTGTCTGGCCTGGTGCTGTGGAGTCAAAGGCGAATTGCTCCCTCTGAAGTCAGTGAAAAGACATGGTTAGACTGGGTCTGTGAGGGATGGAGCAAAACCAGATGCATCCTCATCCTTTGCCCTATTTATACACATGCATCTGCTTCCAATGATGGGGACCGAATCATCTGTCTGGATGTTTTATCTTTTCTTACCTAAGGCCAAGCCTCGTGCACATTCACAGCAACAGGATCTATTTTAACCAAATACTGCAATCTCTGTTTTCCTCATGAAATTGCAATTACCATGAGAGCTGACAAAACGGAATTCTTTTGCTAATCAGTTGTGTTTCAAGCTTCAAGTGCTACACGCTTACTTTAAATGACCTGACACTAACATATGATTTAGATCTTTAAGTAAGAACTACAGATGCTCTGCCAGGCTCCATTATTTAGTCCTGTAACTTCCATTATTTCCAGACATATCAAAGAAGAGTCTG